CACTGCTGTTTATAAGAAACTCTGACTCTCTCCATGTGTTGAACTGACCCCATCTTTATCCTCGTTTTTCCTCTGACCAGACTAATGACACAAGCAGTTCAGAAAAGACCAGCTCTTCTTCCATCTGTCTGCATTTTAAAATCCAGATATATAAACGAATATCCGGTGGGCAGATCTCAACAAGCCTCTCAAGTGAACTGAAGGTTGAATTTTTATGCCTCTCATGTCAAACAAAATATCATGACATCTGCTCATTATCTGAAGCTTTTTGCCTTTGAAACCCCCCTGACAGACTGTCTTATTCACCTCCATTTGACTCAGAAATGCAGGAAGCCGGAGCTGCATTTATGTTTTGTCTGAAATCGTGCACTGGCCAGTCACAAACGTCCTAATGTCTGAAACGGCCTCAGCCCATGCTGAAAGCATTGCAATTAACGCGTAGGTGGGAGGCAAGCAGAGCGCTGCGGAGCCCACTGGGAGGAAAATCGAGAAAAACCAGAGAGGAAGAGGCAGAGGGAGAATTTCACTTCATCAAATTCATGCCCTTTAAATATTTACATGAAATCATAGTTGTCCTTATTTGATCAGGTTCATCATCACTAGTAAAGATTCTTAAATATGGGTGTGCTGTGGCGGCGCAGGGGTTAAGCACAACCCACATATGGAGGACTTAGTCCTCGACGCAGCTGTCGCAGGTTCGATTCCCGGCCTCGGCAACCTTTACTGCATGTCTTCCCTCTCTCTCATTTCTCCATTACGCACTTTTCTGTTAATCAACTAATTTAAAAAAAGGCCACTAGAGCAAAAAAATAAATAAAATTCTTAAATAAATCTGTGTTTTTTAAAATCCGAATAAAATACTAATTTGAGACGGAGTATAAGAGCCGTCCAGAAAAAAAAAAAAAAAGATTTTAAGTCATAATTTTACCAGAATAGAGTGGAAATTATACAAGAATAAAGTTGTAGCATTTTGAAAATAATGTGATGTTATTCTGAGAAAAAGTTTAAATTTTAAAGAATAAACTCGCCCCAGGAAAAAAGTGGAAATAATACAAGAATAAAGTCAAAATATTTTGAGAATAAATGTAAAATTTTATGAGAATAACGTAATATTTTGAAAATGAAGTAAAATTTTAATAAATTCGCAACATTACAAGAATAAAGTCGTAAAATTTTGAGAGGAATCTTGTAATATTTTGAGAATAACGTAATAATTTGAAAATTAAGTAAAATTTTAAACTCGCATTACAAGAATAAAGTTGTAATATTTTCAGAATACAATCGAGTTGCTTCATTTCTAACTTATATTTTTAAGTC